GTTATTGTTTGCACCTCTATTTAGGCAGCGTCCTCCCATCAGGACGCTGCCAGATTGTTCTAGACCCCAGCTCTGACTTTCCAGCATTCTCTTCGGTATTGGTATTTTTGTGTTTCTGGCCCGGACTGCTTCCTTGAATTATTCTGTTCTGCCTTGCCCTCTTATTTCGGACTGCTTCAGTGTATCGGCTTAACGGACTTATCTTTGGACAACACGTTTTGGATTCCCCTGGATGTATGTGTTTGCTGGCTCTGATCTCGGACTGTTATACCGACCGTGAGTTTTGTGTTTCCACCGTGTCTTGTATGGTTTTTTGTTTACGTTAGTTCTCTTATTAAAGAGACGGGTTTTGTTCATTACTTCCTCATCTGGCCATTTAATGAGTTCACCTAACACTTTTCGGCCGCATTACGCGCCAATTCTGACAGCGTGATGTGATGTGTTGCTGGTTAACGACCCATGATGTTATTGTCGTTGCTACGCTACCTGTTGGAATTAATTTCACTGCTTTGGGACTGTATGTTATTGTTTTGGGGAAGACGCAGCGACCACTGGTTGGAGCGATGTTTCCACTACTTTGTGGGACTTAACTGTGAGTTTAAAAAAAAATACACGTTGTTATTATGCCCTGTTTCTGTAATGTTAGAGAGAATTGTTGTAAGGCTGGAGAAGTTACTATTTCTGCATTATGCCATATGGGGTTTCTCAATTACCTGCTTTGTTTAGAGTGTTACACATCTCTTTGGTACATATACAGTTGTTTACCTATCTATGGAGGAGACATTCAACTTAATTAATTCTTTTGTGGTTCATTGTGCTGCCTACTTGCAACACAACACCAGCAGCGGGAGCTGTGCGTGTTCATGAACTATCCTCTCATTTTAGGAAGAGGCTCTATGGTTTTATTTTTCTGAAATAAGTACAGACTATTTGGAGTTGTGAGAGGTGCCAATCTAATTTAGAGATACCCAAAATTAAACATGATGGCTGGAAACAAGCAAAAAGAGCAGCCATGGGGACTTTAATAATTATATATTAAAAGGTTAATCTTTTTAAAAATCCATGATGCAAGGGCTTTGTAATGTGTTTTTAAATGCTGTGCTCAGAAGTTAAAACTTAATTATAAATTTAGGAATTAAATAAGGCGAAATAGCATTTCTTCATTCTTGTTAAATGTTAATCAAAATAGCTGCAGCCTTTTCCTTTAAACTAACTTCCATGAGACTTATAAAAATGAACTGGAACTGGGTTATACCAAGTGAAAGTTACCTTCAGTGTCTCTTCATCTAGAGCTTTGACTTCCTGGATCATCCTCTCTATCTCCTGTGAGGGGATGGCTGAGATGACAGAGTGAGCACAAGCAGAAGTGACTGCTGCCTCACTGTGAGGTCCTCCCTCCCCTCGCTCAATGGTACACTCCCTCAGTGAGGCCAAGCTGGGTTTAAAAACATACAAACTTATTAGGGATGAAGCTGTACAGTGTTTCTCATCTCTGCCCATTGTGGATGCCAGAAAACTATTACTGTATAATGGTGCTGTGGTACAAGCTCTTCACTGCTACTCTGATAAAACAGGAAATTATTTTTTTTTCAACAGCAACCCACTTCCTCATGAATATAAAACAAACACAGTTGGTATTGTGTAAATAATATAAGTGTCCTCTTTGCCAACACATGACTGCAGAAGTCTTACCTCACAGAGAATCCTCTGTCAGTGCTGTCCATACCAGACTCGGACTCATGAGAGTTAGTAAAATCCATGGCAGATAGGATCTGCATGTTTGGGGAGCAAGGGCTACCATGGCATGTGTACATGGGCAGGGAGCGCATCAACGCTTGTGACACCTGCAACAGAAGCAACACATTCAAATAGAAGAAGATGCAATCAGAAGGTGGTTATTCTTGTACCAAACAGTGTGAGGATGCTACAACAATTACACTGAAAATACAAATATATCAAATAAATCATTGACATGTTGAGCATGTGTTATGAAAACTTCACAACTGCTTATAAGGTTACATTCTGGTTTATTATAACTGTTTTATTTCTTTAGTTTTGGTTATTATTTGGATCTCAGTCACACTAAGAATCTCATCCTAAATTTTGAACAAAATGTCTGTCAACAGTTTGACACAGCTCTGATGCTCTAAACTGTCTCAGTGTGATCTAGGGCCACTGTTTGTTTCAAGTATTTTATTTCATAGATTCCATATGGGACAGCTCAGAATCAATTCTTTACTGTATTGGTGTCTGTACGCAACTTTTTTGTTAAATAAGGGGTTATTACAGATATTTCAGGTGTGCTTTTTTTTTCATTTTAAATACTTCATTCACTGAAAGTTCTTTTAATAATTTGTCCATCGGTTCCGGATGGTATCTATACATCTACAAATGCAAAGACGTTTATACAGGTCATAGGTATCATTGATATTTCCAAGAAACATTTCCAAGGAGCTAAGTTCTAGGTTTAAGTACATATGTAGCCTCAACTATATTTATAAATAATACAAATCAAGTATATTACCATGGTTTCTCAGATTACCTGGTTACTGAAAGTGAGAATTTTTCCTAAACTCTCTCCCTCCAGGCCTCTCAGGGAGTTACTATCTGTGGGTGGAGCAGCACTTCCATCCATGCTCAGCAGCCTTCCCTGGCTCTGTGCTTCGTACCCCTCTGCCCCCTCTGTGGGACTTTCCTCTTCATCTGGACTGGATGTTGCAAGGGGCAGGTCCTTGGACTCTCTGGACCTGCTGACGTCTACTCTTTCTAGCTCACACTCTTCTTTGGGTGGTAAGACATTTCTGTCATCATGGACGATAGCTGACTGAGTATCATTTATATCCGACTCCAGATCATTCCTGATGGTACCAGTAGGTGGGAGATCAGTGGGGGCCTGGATGGAGGGAGGTTTGTCTTCACAGGACTTGATTGTTGTTTGACTATCAGATTCAGAGGTGGAGGAGGTGACAGCAGTGGGTGAGGAGGGGACATTATTGTTTGTCTCCTCAACAAATGCAGACTGGTTTGACTGTATCTCTTTGGGGATTTCATGTTTGCTATTCACATCTTCATGTGAGCTAGGATGACTCCCGGTCTCCTTTTCCATCAGAAGAAGAGAAGTGGAAGAGGTCACATGTCTCTTGTTGCCCCCCTTCTCTGGACTCTCTGGACTGGAAAAAGTTTCAAATGAGTGGATTTTTTGTTTGATTGACAGGTTGGCTGCTGTTGAGGCAGCTCTGCCTCCAAAGCTTCTGCTGAAGCACACAGCAGACCTTGGCTCTGCAGGTTTAGCTTGCTTCTTCTGGTCCTGCTCATCCCGAATTTTCCTCAGACTCTGGCGAAACCAGGAAGGCTTAGGTGCAACTGGGGGCCCCTTCTTTGATTCTGGAGGAGTTGCAGATGTGTTTTCAGGAACCATGTCGGAAGGAGGATCTGAAGTTAAATTAGTGGCTGTGCCACTAAGCTCAGCAGTGATCTCTTCATCACTCATGATGGCAGGCTGTGTGGTGTCTGCAGCTTGTGAGTAGTGATAGTAGTGGTGGATCTCGGGCAGCTCTTCCAGGGAACTGTCTGGAAGGCGAATCCAGGGATCCTGATGCTGCTCTTGGGTATGATGTCCAATTCGAGCCTGCCTCCTAAGAGCACCTCTCTTTGTCTGTGAACAGAGCCAAAGTGATGAAGCACCTGGCAACACAGAGGAAAGTCCATGGTTTTGAGAGGTGGTCATGAGTTTCAAACATTTGCATCTCAAAGATTTTTTTAATGGACATTATTGTGTATTCACACTGTAAACAACACAATGAGGAGGCCTCTGTCAGTGTTAACAGTCCAAGGAAGTCAAAGGTGCCCAGGCACAGCAATGCTTTGTGCTAAATGGTATATTTTTCTGTTGTTTGGCCGGTTTATTGTTTACCCTCTAACCCTGCTAACACTCTCACTAATTAAACAAAGTACAACTGAAGCTGTTGGGAAAGTCTTCAGTTTCGCAGGTATTTGGTTATTAACCTAAAGTGTCTCAGTACTGAACAAATAAAATTTTGACACTTGGTGCTAGATCAAAAGTGAAGGGATCACCAAAGTTACTCTAATTCACTCCAGTGTGGGCAAATTTCATCACAGTTCATCTAACAGGTGAGTTATTTGACTCAAAACCAAATGTGAACCTATATGGTGACACTAGAGATCATTCACATGATTAGGATATATTGTCTGGGAGCCTTCTATGTAATGTATGCAGAAAATGTTTATATATGTTTATATATATAACAATTTAAAATACGTATTACACACATCTGGGGTTTGGTGCCTAATTTTGCAATACTAAATAAAACAAATACAACACATACTGCATGTGATGCCACAGTTGGCCATCAAGGATAGTTTCAAATGTAGCAAATGTCCAAGTTAATTACTGACTGTGCTGCTGCTCAAGGAGCCCTGGCAGCCCTGGTGTAACTATAAAGCAGGTGATCATCAGCACTGCCGCAGCCCTTGTTGAACTCCACCATCATATTCTGATTTCATTTTATTTTGCACCACATACTGTAAAATGCCTGCCTCGGTTACTTTCAACTGAACTACAACTACAGAACCAGGTTCAGGTTGCTGTCACATTGTTGGAACAATGGTCTGATTAATGAACTTATTCTGAAGTTGCAGATGGTTAAATGTAACATAACACTTATGTCCTACCTGTGTGTAGCCTGCTGTCGGTGGAGGCTGCAGTGTCTTCTTTGCTCCCTTCTGACTGTTCTCTTACTTGCTCTCCTTCCTGCTACACAAACAGGAAGTATTGTGTGTGAAAGCTTCTCTAGCAGCAACCACAGAGAGGTGCAATACTTTATTGTACCCTGCTTCCGCTCAGACATTCAGCCACATTGATCTACTGCTATCTGCTACTATTCCACTGAGTCAGTAACAGGCCCATAACCTAATCAACATGATGCATACAGACACACAACATGCACATTTTGCATGCTGACATGCACACAAACACACACAGTGTAAAACGTGCAAAAGAATGCACTCTATATGGAAACATAAGATGGGCACTGTGAGCACCATATTAGGCAGTTTCACTGCTTTTTCTTCCTAATTCCTGAATGACTTTTCAAGGTCACACCTACACTACATGGCCAAAAGCATGTGCATACGCCTGAACATTACACTCCAGCCCGGTATCCCTAAGAATTACATTTATATTGGAGAATTCAGTGGTGCACAACATAGCGTACATAACATATTGTTCAATACCAGTGCAGGAAGTAGTGCGTCCATTATATGGCGAAATGTTAAGAAAACCAAACCCGCACACATGTGCAATTTATGTTCCTTAAAGAACAAAAAAAAAAACAACCCAAAGTGTAACTATAGTCTTTTCCTCTCCTTATTCTTATTGTACTTGTTTGATTGTAAAAAGGAGGAATTTCAAAAACACTGGCAGTGAATAAGAAACATCTCAAACATAATACAAGGTTTTGCAAAATCATCCAATCACAGTGTTCTTAGCTTGTAATACAATTAAGTGTATTTGGTCACAGCCTTCATTTGGAAGGGTTTTAACAAGATTTGGAAACCTGACTGAATAAAATGACCTGTTGACTAAAACAATGTACATACAAGAAGAAAACCTAGAGCAGAAGTTAAAACACACCTGATTAAGTATCATGTGCACTAGTCCTTATATTTAGGTTTAACTGGAATTTCAATCAAGGCATCCTTTATAAAGGTAAGCTGTAACTAATGGCTTTATTAATAACACATTTTTACATAGAGTGCCTTATTACATAGTAGTAAAAACATACATAGAAAATACAGCAATAAAACACTGAACTCTCAAATAAATGTAATTACATAGCCCTTGATCAAGGACTGGGCTGAGAGCATTATTAAATCATAAAACCCCACAGGCATTTAGCATGCTTTCACTAACCACACTGAAAGCCACCTCAATTCACATACATTCCTTAAGAGTAACTTCAGGATCTTTCGTAAGGCCTTGCATATACTGCTGAAGAACTGTGGGCAGTGAAAGGAGAAGAGCATGTTGCCTATCATTCTTTTCAGAAGAGTATGATCAGTGCATTGAGAGAAATGTCAGAAAGGAAGTGAAAAACACAGGCTGCAATTCAGATAAAATTGAACAGATACTGAAGCTCTGAGCAGAATCTCACAGTGGAAGAAAACACAAATTAAACACTTTCAAGTAAAAAATGTAGCAATTTAGCACACAAAATTAGTCACAACTGGCTTTATTTGCACAACATAAATGAAAAATGAACTACAAATGCCATTTATTAATTAATTTATTTCTGATTTTTCTGAGAGATATAGGTTTTTTTAATCAAGCAATGTATGCCTGGAGGTTAAGATGTGTTTTTTAATTTGACCACTAGATGGAGAAATGAAAACGAGATAAATCAGGTCCAAGCCCACCAGCAGCTCAAATCTGATCAGTTGAGGTGCTTCTTCATCTAATTTATTATTTTACAAAGTTCTTTCTCCTTTTCTGTTCATAACTGTGCTAAAAGTCTGCAACAGTGCATGTACTGCAATGTCCAGTGGAAGGAGAGAAACACACAGAAAGTAGCCAGTGTGTTGTCTGATGAGTTAATGATCATGTGATGAAATTCAACAAAAATATAGCCTTGGATTTCAGGTTTGGGTCACTGGTGCAAGTGGGTGAAAACTGGTTCTGATCTCAATTTTAGGCCTGTGTATCCTGCTACTGTCACAGCAGTATGGGGGTAGGTCTGACATTTTCTGCTCTATAGCAAAAGTCAGAATCTCTATTTTATGAAATGTAAAGAATATGTTAGAGCTCACATAAACAAGGGAATGAATTTTTTTGTAACCACTTTCTTATCATCTGTGTACAGTAGCTGAATTTTTAAACCTAATTGTCTTGTATTGACACATTTGAACCATGTGCTTATATTTAGTAAGTTTTCATGCCATTGTTTATAAGCTTATGGTATTGTCACTATATGCTTAGGCTGTATGGCAAGCAGGTTTGTAACAAGGTATGATGATGTTGATTTAAAGCCTGATTGAAAATGTAATGATAGTGCAGAACACTAGAATTTGTCACTCCTTTTGTTTTAGATTTGGGGACTGCCAGCACTTTTGTTATAACATGCTTTTTAATGATGCAAACAAGAGGCTGAATGTTGCCGTGGAGGCAGTGAGTTAGATGTGGGTGTTCTCACCCTGAGGCCTGCTTTCTTTGTCTAGTTGCTAGTTAGCAAACGGGTGAAAACAATGCAGATTTTCTCTTGTGTGATAAAATATTCACAGAAAAAAACAGTGATTTCTTTCATCAAGAGCATATACTAGTAAATATGCAAAGAGTACTCAAAGTCAACACAATTAACCATTTTTACATCTACATTAACCATAGCTATTCTCCATGTTGTTCATCTGCTACGTTCTGTACCTGGCAGCTGGTGTGTGATGAAGGCTGCAGTCCTTCTCTAACTGGGGATCCTCCATTGGAACCACTGGAGTCTCCAATATAGCACTCCTCACTGGTCACATCCTGAGGCCAGCAGTACTGACTTGGAGCAGCATGCACCTTGAAGTTGGACTACACACACACACACACACACACACACACACACACACACACACATACATGTCTTTATGCCTTTGTGTGGCCCACGTTCTGTGACTTCTTTGTGATGGCCACCACTTCTACTATAGCTACAATGGTGCAAAACACAAATCTTTCATGAGGTGGCAATAGAGAATCAAAATGTCACTTCAGAATTCAGAAAACTCGAAAATAAAAAAACATCTTTTTCTTCTACACCTGTGCGGACTCGAGCCTGTTGCCAAGCAGATTTGGTGAACTGGACCTTCTGTCACAAAGCACCAAAACAATGCATGTTATGAAAGATCTGCTAAAATCTGGTGATATAACTGTCGCATCTTACTTTCCTGGTTAACCCAAACCACAGCATTACAGAGATGGAAGCATGTGGTTTTTAATTTTGCCAATGTAAAGTGTATTTAACCCTTGGGGGTCAGTGTGAGGGCCCAGAGATGATAAGAGTCTGGCCGGAGATGTGTGGTTCTCCATGGGTGAAGCAGAGTGCAGCATGGCATGTTTGAGACTTAGAAAAATTAATGACCTGTGGTCCTGGTACTCAATATTGGGACTTAGAAAATTTTTCTGTTCCCACACAGTGTAATACCAGAGGCATGAAACTCCATTTGGAGTACCGGGGCACAAAGTTGTGGCCGGGCGGTTTTAAATTATTTAGCCCAGGGAGGGGGCTTAAGCGTGGGTACACAGGTTCAACTGGTGCACCGGATGCCTGGAGCTCTGGTTCACAAGGGGAGCTAGCCGGTTCCTTTCTCCCACTATGGAGCTCCATTCCCGCGGTACTCCCTGGTGATAACAAAGCATAGAGTCCCTGGGGCTTTGGTTCAGACTATTTATATGTAAATATAATGTATAGTCCACGTAGGTTCAGATCAACAGCCTTTTTTCTTTTGTCAGTTTTCTTTTAGTAAAAATCTAAAAAAGGGTCAATTTGACCTGGATGCAACACAAGGGTTAAATTGGATTGTATTTACATCTATTAAAAAATGTATTATAAAAATGGTATATGGTATGTATCTCTGCATTTAAAACTGGGTAGTTTTGCAGACATCTAAACTTTAGGTTTGTTCAATCTTACATGTCACTTGTTAAGTTTGCTTAACACCAATAACACTGAAAGCAATGTTTGTCAAAGTCCTCTAATCTTGATTTACCTACTTTAATTCACCCACTCCATTGATAGAAGCTTGATAAACAATTTAGCACACGAAATTAGTCACAACTGGCTTTATTTGCACAACATAAATGAAAAATGAACTACAACAATTTCCTTTTTTGAGACATGATGGAGTTGTGGACATTATTCTTTAAATCTTTCCAGTTGCGACTGCCCAGTGCTGGTTCTGCTTCAAATGCCTTGAGGCAGACCTCTTTACCAGGAAGTCTTTGCATAGTGATGCACTGCCCCAGTTGTCGCCACACCGCTGCTTTTTCTGCAGAACCCCACAGTCTGCGCTGGTGTTTGTTTTTGCTGAGTAACTGTAGGTCCACAGCTGAAATAGAAATGACAAATGTGATAGACATTCTCAATATTGATAAATCAAAAATTTATCTGGTGATCTAATTTGTAATGTGTTGTTAATCCACATCTACTGTAATTAACACTACTCAAGTCTGAGAACTGAGCAGTACCTGTTTTCTCTGTCCTTTTGAGCTTGTGTGATGGTCCTGTAGCTGAGGCCTGTTGAGTCAGCATGTGTGATTCTTCTGCAGCAGAAGAACACGTCACCTCACTATTAACCACGAATCATTGTCTTATCTGTTTGCCCTGGGAGGAGAGGTATATACACACACACACACACACACACACACACACACACACACACACACACACACACACAGTTTGTATAAAGCCATACCATCATCTGCCCTTTGGGTCATTATTATTGACCTTTATGTAGGAGGAGCACTTTTGGTTTTAATCACAGAAATGTTTATACGGAATCTATTGTGTGAAACTCTTTTGTTTGATGTCTCTTTTCATATTTCACATCCAAAATCTGTTCTATGAATTCTCTTGGAGAGCCGACTGAAGGGCGAATGGTAGTATTCATGATAGTGCTGAAAAGCTGCTCTGAAACTCTTATCTCTGAGTTTTGAATATGTTATTAGCCTGCTCTATTTTCTACTCACTTTGTATGCCCACG